TTCTTTCGTTAAACAATTGCAACAATCATTTCAAACATATCTAATGTATTTTCTTTCATATATATTACATATAAATAAATTTTTATAAATTTCCGTAAAACATGCCCAGAAAACATCAGTAAAAAACGGATATGTTTGGATTAGATTTCTGTAAATTTCAAATGGGTTAACAAGACTACGAAATTAACTGTAATTTTTGCCAAATTCATTTTAGTTTTTTTTTGTCTCTTTATGCTTTAATATATTTTAAAAACAATGCCGTTCAAAAATTCCAGGTCTGGTTCAAAGCAGTACCAATCCCATTTCAAGTTTTACGATGAATTGTACAAAATGATGTGCGATTTCACTACTTTTCGGTTGTCTTACTGTACGGTCGTGTTTGTGTTTCGCTCCTATAAATTTACAATTTTTTCGCCTCGTCGCAGCAAAAGCATCATATAATCTGCGCCATTGATCTCTCACAGTTTCGCCAACATTGTGTGCTATCGAGTATTCGCATTTCTTTGTGATGTTAAGCAGTTTAGAAATACAAAACAAAAACCAATATTGATAAATTTTACCATTCCCTTTTATGCTATCATTCGTAAATAACATAAATAGAAGTGCTCTCATTATCTTTAGTTGCTGTTGAACCTACCTGTTCAAACACAAGTACGTACGTCATCTCGCATTCTGTTTTTCGTTTATCGTACCTGTTCACTGGCTTGAACTTGTGAACCTGTTATCTTCCCTGCTATCGTTGCGGTGTGTGTCCTGGATTGACTAACCTGTTTACATCACCCTGTTTCACTACATCAACTACATCACCCAGTTTCACTACAACACCCTGTTTTTGCTGTATCAACCTGATTAAAACCCTGTTACACCGTTTACATCGCAAATAAATTTTACGTTGTTTCAAATTTTACAACTTTTTTCTGTACGTCATATTGTAAAAATATATTACTGTAATGGCGTGTTTAAATAGAAATTGCAAAATAAAATCAAACGAAAGAATGATAACATGCTGGTTATGTCACGAAAATTGCCATCTTAAATGTAGTGACATTTCTGGACTTGTTGCGGATGCAATTTCGAACAACAAGGGACTTCACTGGTGCTGTGTGGATTGCAGAAAAATTGGAGTGAGCTTTTACCGATTTTTCCAATCTCAAAAACAAACTTTTCTGCAGATTCTAGAAGATTCAGCTAAACTCTCTAATCGAATAAGTGATTACGGTAAATTATTTGAAAATTATAAGCTGTTAGAGAATATGAATTCACCACAATCATCTCCGAAGCGTCGAAAATCAACTAGGAATGCAAACAAAGAAAAACGCTCTGAAAATAACTATAGTACATCATTATCAAACACCCCTTCCGTGCCAATGCTTGATTCTACTTCCTACAATTCATCACCTATACCTAATCTTCCTTCATCCAATCCCCCTACGTCAAATAATCCAATTAGTTCATACAGTACTTCCGTTAATGATGTACCTCCTACCAGGCTTGAACGCCTAACAAACCATGATCCTGAATCACTCGTCAATCCTTCTTCTCCTTATAACGTAACCCCTGTTGAGGTTATCCTTACTGCCGTCCCGCCAAAAAGAAGCATTTTCATTTCAAGACTTCCAGCGGATACCACTACAGAGACAATTGACCGTTACATCACATCTAAAATTGGAAAATTTAATGATATTAACATACATAAATTCAATTTTTCGCAACAACGCTCAATTGCATCATTCAAAATTACAACCTCTGATGAAATGTATACTCGTCTTATTGATCCTGAGTTCTGGCCGAAACATACTATAGTTCGTGAATACGTATATAGAGAAAGACAAATGCCTGATAATAATGGTTACATTCATCAAAACTCTGTTAACTTTTCAAAAAACTAAGCACTTTTTGTAATGATACATTATCTATAGCCTATCAAAACGTCCGCGGAATTCGATCTAAAATATCGAAATTGTATGTTGACAGTTTTACCTTTGATCATCATATCTTAGTAATGACTGAGACCTGGTTAAATGAACGTATTTTAAACTCGGAAATTCTGTCAAATAAATACAATATCTTTAGACGTGACCGTGTAAGCAACGGCGGTGGAGTGCTCATAGCTGTCTCCAATATATTTTCATGCCAATTACTGGATTTTGATTCTTCCCTTGATATTGAGTTCATTGCTGTCGAAGTAAAAAACAATTTGAAAAAAATGTTTATAACATGCTCATATATTCCTCCATCATCACCGCAAATAATTTATGAAAAGCATAGCCATGCATTAAAAGCAGTTTTACAAAAAACTAAGCCAGAGGATCTAATTTGTATACTTGGCGATTTTAATATACCAAACATGTTGTGGAATTTTTTACCTGGGGATAAATACCTGCTGCCCGAAAATATACACAAATTTTATGAATTATTCTTCGATACACTTTTTGATCTTGGTATTTTTCAAATAAATTGTATCCGTAACACCTATAATAAGTTATTGGACCTGATATTTGTAAATCAAGTGGATGATTGTTACATTCAACGAATTGATCCGTTAACATTTCCCGAAGACCAGCACCATCCAACTATCAAAATTAATGTTTCGTTTCCTACTGGAAACCAAATCATACCCGGGACTCAAAGTGAGAAATCCCTTTGTTTTTCGAAAACAAACTTTGAGCAGTTACGTGAACTTATGCATAACACAGACTGGGATATCCTTTTGTCTAGCACTTACGATTTAAATGGTGCTATCGATATTTTTTACAAAAAGCTATACGATTTTATTGATATCAGTGTACCGAAATATGTAATTAAGAAGCTTTCTGGGCCACCATGGAACTCTATAGCTTTGGCAAAGGCTAAAAATGTGAAAAATAAACAATATAAGAAATATAAAAAGACAGGATCTTCCATTGACTACGGAAGATATTCTGTAGCACGGTCTGAATATACTACTATGAATAATATTTGCTATTCAAATTATCTGACAAAACTCAAAAACAACTTTAAACAGAATCCGAAGTCCTTCTTCAAATTTGTCAATTCGAAGCGCAAATCCACCGATTTTCCACCAAATTTAAAGTACGATGATGCTGAATCCTGTGATATAAATGTTATATCTAACATGTTTGCAGACTTCTTCAGTACAACATATTCTACTAAAACATTTAGCGGCAACAACTACCCCTTCGAAATTAATACTAATCAATCAATATCTATTTCACTATTAAACAGCTCTATGGTTTTAAATGGATTGAAAACTTTAAAGTATAGCTATGATTTTGGACCAGATAATATCCCGAGTTGCATCCTAAGGAAGTGCGCCGATGCTTTTGTTTATCCTCTTACCATATTGTTCAATGCTTCCATAACTCAAGCTGTTTTTCCTGAGGTTTGGAAAACATCGTATATCATTCCACTCTTTAAAAACGGAAATAAATCTGATGTGGCCAATTACCGAGGAATAGCAAAATTAAGCGTGATTCCAAAGCTTTTTGAAAAACTGATTACTGAAAACCTTATCCATTGCATTAGTTCTATTGTTTCACCCTATCAGCACGGATTTCAGAGGAAGTGTTCTACAACAACAAACCTCATTCAGTTCACTACAGTTATAAATCGAGGATTTCTTCAAGGAAAGCAAACTGATGTAATTTACACAGATTTCAGCAAGGCATTCGATAAAGTTAATCATAAATTATTACGATTAAAACTTAAAAACATTGGATTTACAAATAGAAGTTCCGAATGGATTTTTTCATATCTACAAAATAGAACACAAAAAGTATGTTTTAAAAACGCCATTTCGAAGAGTATTATGGTTTCTTCTGGAGTCCCACAAGGAAGTCATCTTGGACCAATCCTATTTTCTTTATTTATAAATGATCTACCTTCATCTATAAAATTTTCAAATATTTTGATGTATGCCGACGATGTGAAAATATTTCTTAGCATTTCGGAGATATGTAATAATCAGCTGCTTCAAAATGATTTGAATTCGTTTGTTAACTGGTGCAACATTAATCTTATGGAAATTAATTATTCGAAATGCAAACTTATGAGATTCACAAGAAAAAAATTATTGGATACTTGTTACACCCTCGGTGATTATTCTCTGGAAAAAGTTGATACATTCGTTGATCTTGGAGTTGTATTGGATTGTAAACTTAACTTTAAATCTCATATTTCTGTTTCTATAAACAAAGCAAAATCAGTTCTTGGTTTTGTGAAACGTTGGAGTAAAGAGTTTAAGGATCCTTATGTTTCAAAAAATTTATACATGTCAATTGTTCGCCCAATTTTGGAATACTCTTCGGTCATATGGGATCCAATTTATAAAACACACAGCGACCGCATCGAGTCTGTTCAAAAACAATTCCTACTTTTCTGTCTACGAAGTTTGAACTTTTCATATGATAATCTTCCACCATACACTGATAGACTCTCACTGATCAAGCTGCCAACTCTGGAAAGCCGTAGAAAAATGCTAAATGTCTCATTTCTTTATAATGTGATTATGGGTGATATTTCTGCTGGCTTTCTTGTTAACAACATAAATTTCAATGTTCCTCAACGTACTACCCGACTATGCACCACTAGCAATTCAATTCTCCAGGATGAACTATGCAAACGCTGATCCTTTAACAAGAATTTCAAAAGATTTTAACGCGTTTTATAATTTTATCGATTTTACAATGGATATTAATACTATAAAAAGTAAAATAATAATGTTTTTAAATTCTTAATTTTAATTATACAATTATTAGTTATGTACATATATAGTCTGTAAGGAATTATCCATAGACTAATAGATTAAATAAATAAAATAAATAAATAAATAATTATGAATATATGCGTGTGTGTGTGATTAACACTTTATTTTTGTAAAATAAAATGTCTATATGAATTTGTTGATAATCAAATTTTCAATTTTTTAATACAAATATTTCCCAAACCATGCATTCCACCATCCACCCATCCATGCTTTGCCAATATTCAAATAAATGCAGACCTCTATCAGGAGACAGTTAAGCGTTTTACACGCTCGTCATTGTCGCCCGAAATGGATCGTTTTTCTTCGCCATCACGCTATTCTTTTAAGTCAAATTCTCCATGTAAGTTGAAAATATTTTTTGATAAATAAAAGAACAATTGATTTTTTATTGTCCTTACTTCATAACTTAAGAAAAATTCAATTGGTAATAATGTTTATGTTTTGTTTTTTCCAAAAAAATAAAAAAAATTGAAGACGATTTATACGTAGAGGCCACAGGCCGTCGACGCAGTTCAGGTAAGAGTGAACGTTGTCAAATTAAACCCAACAAACGAACAAACAATAAATAACTCTTACTCACAAAAACAACAAAAATGCAAAAATATTTACTAAAAAGCTCCTCTTTATCGTTTACCGACTAAAACTTTTCTAGAATAACCCAATATCTAAAACAACTACAACAACATAACATACAGACTTCGTCTAACATCTGTCAATGTAGTATTCTTTTCTGTTGTCTTAACCAAAAAAACTCAAGATTTATTTTTCTCCCAAATGCGAGATTTTTCTTTTTTTCTTCTTCTTCTTCGCCGTATGTACCTCCCTAACTAACTAGCCGGAGTGCGGTCGTTGTCGTTTGTGTACAAAACGCAACACAAATGTACATACATTCTCGATCTAGCAGATCTAGCAGAGGCGGCACATGCGCAGGTGGCTGGTTTTCTACTCATTCGGGCTGTTGTGTTAGGCTCACCGATCGATGGATCGATCGACCGACCAAACGATAGATCAGCGCAGCCACGGCATCTTAGACTACCAGCAGCCATTTTACTGTTGCATTTGCCATACAATCTGTGCCACTTGATGTTGCCTTAAATGGTGGCACATTGGCATGAATAGTAGATGTCGCGGCTAAAACTGACAACGAAGCGATATTTATGGCACATTTGCCGCCGTTGCCTCCACATCATCGACCAGAGATGTAAACAAAAAAGCAAAAAATACAAAAACATTGCAAAATTTCTTTATTAATCATCTTTTGAGCATTTTGAGACGTTTGTCTTCGTGTTGTTGTTTTTTGTTTTTGCGTTCTGGTTCTTTATGGAATGACAGACTGGACGTGACATTTATTAACATATGAATCGAACAATTTATGTGATGACGGCAACAACCGTCAATTGTCATGCCATCATCAAATGCATCATGTTTTTCTAATGGCGCAGGTGGCGCAAGACAATTCAATAGAGGCACGACGATGATGGTCATGTTCAAAATTAACTCTAACTGGACACTGAAGAAACCAAACAATCGTATTGAATGGATGGAAGTTGATGACATGATTTATGATTAAATTAAAATTAATAGAAATAAGACAATCCATTTTTCATTGCGTTTTCAATATGTTTCGGAAAATATACAAATAATTGTCTCTGGCTTGACTTATTTTAAGGTTGTATGGCCGCCTTTATTTCATTCTTTCAGCGCATATCTATGCCCAAATAATGGAGAGTTTCTAATCTTTCAATAGATTTCAATTTGCATGTTAAAACGACCTCAATAGGTCCACGCTTTCCCAAAGAATCCATATAACTATACCTTCCGATCTAATGATCCGATGTAATTGTCCGTAATTTTCTGTTCAAAGTGAGAAAAATCTATGCCGGAAATAGTCAATATTAGTCTCAATTTCAGTAGGGTCCCTATATATAGCGATACTGGTATAACATGTGAGCCGATTTTAGATGATGTCTCAATCGGAATTACTGTAATTTTGCAACGACATTTACCTGTGGCATTTGGAGAGTCTACTATGAGCAGATCAAAAGTTCAATATAACCGGTGTAAGGTAGGCCGAGAAGATATCAATGACGATGCTCGTGGTCAAAGTACAGTTTTCGAAATTTGTAATGTAGGTTCGGTTATGTCAAATGTGTACACCTATTAGGGAGAAATAGACCAACAACTGAGTCGTCCATTTTGAAAGTAGTGTAAGTCTATTTTAGGTTCTGATACAAATCTTGGTACAAAATTAATACCACTCAACAATATTTTTGAAACAAATCAAACCCAAAACTTTAAATATCTCAATCGAAGAAAAAGTAAACTTAAGCCTTTCAAAACAAACGACTCAATTTTATTTTTGGGTCACAATTTTAACTAGAGCATCCGACATTTGGTCAAAAAAATAAGCATGGCAGATTTGATCGGTCAATGTTTGGCTTAAGTCTGGCTTGGGGCCCCTTCGCGGATTGCTTTGAAAATTTTACCACATGCAGACCGGTATACTTTTTCCATATTATTTTTCAGAATTGTAAAAGGTTCTCGTGGAATTTTGAAACCCATATCTAGAAATATTATAAATAATATTACATTTACTACACAAGATAATGCAAATATCGCGAAATTTAGACACTATGGAAGTTAAACTCCGTAGAACGTTAAAGTTTAGTTGTCCGATTATATTGCTGTGCTTATGGTGTTCTTTTTTATCCAATTCGAGTATTCAGGACTAAGATGTATGAAAAATGTAGACTTACTGTTGTCAAACATCATTTAACAAAGATATCATAAATGTTATTTAAATGTACAAAAAATATATTTCCTACAAACAAATTAAGTTTTAGCTTGAAGACAATCCAAACAAGTGCAGATCATGCCATGCAATTTTCAAAATGTTTTAGGCTGAAAAGTGCGAAAGCGATGATTGTTCCACAATTGCTAAATTTTTACCAAAATCAACGTAGCCAACGTCGATATCCAGATTACCCCAAAAAGGTCCTTACTGGCGACGCATCTTGAGTGTATGGCTTCCCCGTAATTAACATTGTAACCAAGTTCTCCTTCGACTATTGAACTATGTTCTTTATTAAAATCGTGTTCTGTTTGACGCCTAAATGCTTTTACACCAACAAGGAGTGTTTAAACATTTCGTGATACATCATTCACGCTGTAAACGAACATATTTATTGATCGCTTTGAGCCGTCATCGCGGCCAAAAATCGAAACAGAAATTGTCGTTATCATATCTGTGGTATTTTGCATGCCATCGATAAGTCAGTCAGCCATTAGTCAATCTTTGACATTCACATGACACGACAAAACTGTTGATGCCGGCCCACACAGCTGCGACTACTTGGCGGCAACACCAGTAGGATGTCAAATGTTTTGACTCCATTAATTTCTCAACAAAAGCAAAAAAACAAAAATTGTCAACACAGTAATGAATAAATGTGACTGGGTGTAATCAAGAAGTCATTGTGGGATTATTCGTAATTCTTTCTCATGAATGGGCTGTGTTTTGGAATTGGTACAGGAGGTCCATATGTACGAGACTACAATCGTTATATCATTAATCGAATAGTTGTAAATAAACTGCATGTTTTACAAAGATACACTACAAGCTATTAACATCTGACAAGAACATTTTGTTTTTGTTATTATTATGGTTGTTGTATTTTTATACATTTCCTTTTAGTACAACAAATCAAATTGATGTTTTTTGTTTTTGTTTTAATTGCATTCGATGTCGATGTTTGGCAATTTCGTTGTTTATTTTCCATTGAAATTATTAAATTTTATCTGGCGTTGTTGTTACGTTGCTGTATTAAATCCAATTGACGGTGTTGGGGGAGTTCAGAAAGAGGCCAGGCATTGTCGGTATAATTTGCATGCATTTGCTAATGTATTGCAAAACAAAAGCAAGCCAGTTTTGCCTTAATAACAGTCTAATAATAATCGGTTTTATGTTCTTTTTGCAATTCAGAAAAAAAACTCCCCCACACTTGAAATCACGAAAACTTGCACAAAGCCAATTTAGAGTTACAAAAAGTGCAACTTTTTATTGCAACTTTTCAATAATTGCCAGTATGACTATTAGTGCAGTTGATGTTGCTGCATTTGTGTTTTTCAATCAGTGGCCATGATATAATTGCATTTATTTTAATATTTTGTAAACCGAACGAATCGAACAAATGAATGAATTCATAAATTGCATTAATTTCCACTGTAAAGCGTTCAACAATATCCGTTTGAATTAAATTACACCATCAACGAGAATTCTATTGTTTCTTACAAGTTCGACATTGGCTTTTTTCAGTTTTATTAAAAAAAAAAGAAAAAAAAATAAATAAATGACCTAAATTACTGAAAACTTATCAAATATTGAAAATCAAAGTAGAGAAAAAAGAGTTATTTCTTTTATTAATATTATAAAATATATTAGATAATATTAATCATCCAGTGAGAAAATAAGAGTGTTTCCAATATACTCATTGGCTGATTATGCCGCCTCAGTGATCCAAGTCCTAATGGACGTATTTCCTGATTCAAAATACTGACATTTTCATACTCCTAGGATATTTGTTAGGTATATGATGGTCCAAATCGTGTATTCAAACCGAAATATAATAGCCCAATATAAAGACCGAAAACCTTCAAACTTTTAATGAACATGTGCGTGCAAATATAATGTAAATGTGTAAATGTAGGTATATGTTTCGACAATAGCCCCTATATTGGGAACCCGATTTTAGGTATTTTGAATGGGCATTTTGTTAACATTGAGATTAACATCGGAATTTTTTGGATTACATTTCTTTGACGATTAAAAAATCACACTTTATTTAGAAAAATACATTTTGTAAAAAAACACCCACTTCTCCATAAGGCGAAATCCGATCCCTCTGCATTTCTACAAAACGCAACTACGTCATTCTATGGTCAATTTTGTACCTTGTGCAAAATTTGGTGTCAATCTAACAAACATGCACCATTTTCGAAGGAATATAGGAATATATGGAAGTTACATCGAAATCTGAACCGATTTCAACGAAACTTGTCACAGGTTAAGTTATACTAATTTCAGTACGTTTTGTCATATTTTGGGTCCTTGGATGCATCATTTACTTAAAATCGGATGAAAATATATATGTGGAAGCTATGTCCAAATCTGAACAGGTTTCAACAAAATTTGCCACACGTTAGGATATTGTAACTTCAGTACGTTGTCCAAATTTTGTGGTTATCGGTCTAACTTCGGGTCTTTGGAGCACCATTTATATAAAATCGGACGAAACTTTGTATGGGAGCTAAATGTAAATCTGAACCGATATTTCCCAATATCAATAGGGTTCGTCCTTGGTCCAAATAAATGCGACTTGTACTTTGTTTACAATTTAACAAGGACAAACAGATGGACTGACATGCATAAATCGGCTCAGAAAGTGATGCATATTCTCTAAATTTAAAGGTTTGTCGTACCAATAATGAAGGTTTGTGGAATACCAATTATGGTCTTTGCATCAAGATAACGCATCAGCTCACACATCGATGCTTGTGCGTGAGTTTTTGTCCAAAATTAAAACCGCATTATATGACTAACGAATTTTGGCTAACCAACAAGTAAAAAAGTGTCAGCCGGTATTTCCTACAGATATATACCCTGAGCTTATGGTTTGAAGATATGCGTGAGGTTTTGGCCAAAATTGAAACCGTATTATATGGCCCTGCTATGATTTGAAGTGCACCAATATTCCTCATCGTCGAACCGGACAGACGGACGCACATTTGTAAATCGACTCCAAATTGCCTGAAACGGATTTGGTCCAAAGGCACATGGAGTCTAGGAGCCACATTTTGCCATATCAAAATGTATATACTCTCAGTAGCCCTAATGCTGACAAAGATATAAAGTTTTTTCTTCACAGTTGTCAGAAAATATACATCACACCATAACTCAAAAACTTGTCCTATGGCGAATTTGAATATTGAATAATGAATTTGTCACACCCCCCAAAATCATTTCCATCCTCGAATAATATTACGACGCACATTTGTAAATCGACTCCAAATTCCCTGAAACGGATTTGGTCCAAAGACACATGGAGTCTATGAGCCACATTTTGCCGTATCAAAGTGTATATACTCTCAGTAGCCCTAATGCTGAGGATATAAAAAGCGAATTTAAATATGTTTCGATTTGATCCAAACTTTGTATATCGTAATGTTAAAAAAAATATATAAAGTGCGGAGGTGCAGAGGTGGACAGCAAAAGTTTTCGGACCCTACACATAGAATTCGATTCCGATCGATTGGATGTACTGTAAAATGCAGAACTAACTCTTGCTATACTCAAAGTTGTGTATAATATTTTGTATTAGAAACCGATTACGATTTTATTGCACAAACAACTTCTTTTTATTGGTGTACCATGTGACGATACATCATCTTGAATATAAAATACTATAGATTTTATCCTAACACATATCAGTCGAAATAGAATGAAGACGGCATAAATATTGTAATGATTCTCTAATCTCTATTTAAATCAAACCACATTTTACGAATATTATTTGTTATTATAATTTTTATTGATTTGTATATATTTCCGCAAAATGTTTTTAAATTGTATGTGACTATCACAAAATATGAATACAAATTAGACTGTGTAAATTATGAAAGTGTCTATGGAAACACACGCGGTGATCGTCGTAGATACATGTAAATTAAGGCTAATCTCTAAACCTGGAATGACATCATGAACTCGTTTTGTATATTTTTTATTTCTTCTAACAAAAGTAAAATGTAAACAAAAACCTCGAGTATATTACCGTCATAACTGATATAACTGCAACAACATCTATATAAATTTTTATAAGCTATAACATCTCATGTGTATATGTATTGCTATTGATAATGGTGGTGTTCACATCGATATTAATTAAATGATTAAAAATTGAATTGTCATAGAATTTATTTATGGTTTTTTTGGGAATATTTCATAATGATCATTTTTTTACCATTTTGACTTACCTCTACCATATAAATGGTGTATTTAGTGGGCTTTTAACTAACGTTTACACTTTTTTCTTTATTGATTTATTTTTACAGATCATGGCGCCATATTGACACATGACACGGAACAGTTCATCATCGGACAGAGGGTATGGGTTGGTGGCATACGTCCCGGACAAATAGCCTATATTGGTGAAACACATTTTGCTCCCGGAGACTGGGCTGGCATTGTTTTAGATGAACCCAGTGGTAAGTTTGAATTCAACACAAAACAAAATTGTGTAATTTTTTTTATTTTGTGAAATATTTGTTTCAATAATAATTCTGCTTTTATCAACAACCAAATTAAAGGTAAAAATGATGGTTGTGTTGCCGGTAAACGTTACTTCCAGTGTGAACCTAAACGTGGTATATTCTCACGTTTAACACGCCTCACATTGGCTCCATTGCCTGGAGCTCAAACACCAACATCGCCACTCTCAAAAATGTCACCAGATCGTTCACGTACAGTGTCACCAACAGCCAGTATACGCAGTTCATTTTTACGTAGTCCAGGAAGTAAGTTATATCGCCATTAAAATGCTGACGACCAGTTGTACAATATTTTTGTCAAGAAATATAATTCACAGTGCAAAAAGATTTTTGGGGTTGGAAATTTCTTTAGGGGGACGAAAGCCCTCGGCGAGTATATTAAGATAGCAGAATGACAAATTCGTCTTAGCTCACTTTTTTTTTGCTTTTTGTTTGCGGCTATTGCATATTATTTTTGAGATGACATGTCTTCTGTTAAATCGAATGATGAATGTATTCTCAAGAACAAAAAAGCACACGCTTTCATAGACTTTTCCAATTTTTGTCGACTTTTGCTGTGTGTGTATTAATAAAATTCGTAAAAATGTATGAAGAACTGTCGGATTCGATTGAAATATTCACCATAAAAAATCAAGAAAATAACGATGAAAAATACGCACAAGGATTTGAGATAGAAGGAGAACGATATTTTTTAAAAAATATTCCTCATTCGATTTGACTGAAATAACGGGCTATAACCGTAGACAAAGATATAAAGTTTTTTCTTCACAGTTATCAAAAAAAAATATGCATCACGGCGGATTTGTCCTTCTGGGTTTTAAATGTATATATCAAGGGCTGTCATCCCTATAATGAATTCGTCACACCCCCAAAAATCATTTCAATCTTCGAATATTATTACATTGCTTATATAGTTCCTAATTCAATATGATACACATATTTTAACATAACTCTCGTTTATATAAAAGAAAATGGTTTGACTGTTGGCGATCGCGTAATAGTATCTTCCGGTTTTGGCAGTCGTCCTGGTATTCTACGCTACTTAGGCGAAACACAATTCGCCTCTGGCAATTGGTGTGGCATTGAGCTCGACGAAGCAACTGGCAAAAATGATGGTTCCGTTGATGGTGTCAGGTATGTATTGATATTTTAAAGATATTGGGCATATGACAGAAAAAAACAACTCGACAAATACTATTAATTTTACAAAATTTGATTTTGAAAATATCTTATCAATGTTGTGATAAAAAGTAAGATTGTTGCAAACACAAAATAATGTGAATATATTTTTTTTAATTAATTTTTTTTAAGAAAATGATAATTCATCAGTTGGGCCACGGGCAGCAACATTCAACAATTCAATCAATGAAAAAACCTCTTGAGTTTTATGGCTTTTTTATTTGAATTTTGTTTGTAAGGGCGATGATGATGAAGATGAAAAAAAAACTATAGAAAACACAAAAATAATATCTTTAAAATGAATTATATCAATAACATATACATCGAGTATTTCATACTGAAGCTCGACTGTAATTATATTTTCAAAATAAAACAACTAGTTAATACGAAAAACTATAAATATTATTTTTTGTTACAAAATATGCGCAGGAAATATTTGTCGAGTATTTCTCTATGTCGAATTACTACGCAATATTTTATTTAATTTACCCACTAAATATTATTTTTCCATCTTTCAATAGATATTTCGAATGTAAACCCAAATATGGTGTCTTTGTACCAATTGCAAAGGTCTCATTGTCACCATCATCGAAAAAGTCTCGTCTCTCCCGTACCGGATCCCGTGAATCTCTCACATCGATTGGCACAATGAACAGCATTGCCACGACGAATACATCGCGTTTGCGCTTGAATGCTCAGGTATAGAAAGGAACACAAGCTCCATCAATTGTTCTTCCTTCGACTTGTTTGTTGTACTTCTCTGTGCACAGCCAAACTCTCTGGTGCATGCAATTAAAGTTTTCAGTTTAAAATATTTATTTTTTGTTTGTTTTGAAAGTTTTTGAGTTTTTCTTTGTTAATTTCAATATTTTGTTCATTTTCCCACTAAGTTCAATCAAGATGTGCAACTAATTTTCCAAACCAATGCAAGAAACAATTCTCTTAGTATTATGATTTTTAACCAATGCAAAGAAGCACTAACAACAACAACAACAGCAAAAATTCCCAAATTAATGTCAATTAACCCACATTTTCAAATCCCAATTTTTTCCAAGCAGCGCAAATCGTCGTCAGCTAAACCTGTTGCTGTAACAACGCCAAAAACACAATTTTCGATGCAGGTACGCTAATATTTACCACCACCCCACTCCCACCCCAACATACATATATATCCCAACACCCAAAAAACGTTAATATATGAATACAAATTTAATTGAAATTTAATAATTAAGTATATAATTAATTCTTATTGATAACCCCAATAAATAAAATCAAAACAAACTTGCTATACATGTACATGTGTGTATAATTTTATTAATTTAATATACTAACACTATCATATTTGTATATCCATTGTATAACAACATACAATTAAAGTTGAAAAAATGAAATGAAATAAAAATTAATATATGTACATATATTTCCATTTGAATCGATATTGAATTCTGTAAAAAAAATGTCCTGCAAAGTGCAGTATTGTCTTTTTTTATTCCTTATTTATTCAGAATTTCATTTTTCAACTATAATTGTATTTTATCTTAATAATTGGAGGAATTGGTGCATGTAACTATATTATTTTTTCGTACAATATCGTATATATAAAAATATTTTATTTAGTATTATTTAAACACAAAATTGTAAATTAAAAATACAGCTATATTTGTTTATGGTCTGTTCTCGTACTGCAGGAATCTACTACTTTTCACTACGATAACAAATGTTCCTTTATGATATCGAAAAATTTTAAAAACTAGTAAATTCTTGCAGTACGGGAGCAGAGCGAGCCTTAAATGTATAATTTAAAATATATTTCAGAATTCTCTAATAGCCATTGCCAAATGAAACCAATTGTTACACGCAGTAATTTAAAGAATATCACAAATCGAAATTTAATTTTAATATTGCTTTGTCAAAATAGCTTCTATTTCATACCCTTAACATGGTGCTACAAAAAATCCCCTGTTAACATCTAAAGGATTTCAGAGAGATGCTTATTTGTTAAAACAGTATTAAATGTGTATATTTTGAAATAAGTATCTTCATTAACTGCATAGCTTTGAGTAAATCTGTGAATGAGAATTTATCCAGGAAAAATTGGGGAGGAATCTGCAAGTACTCCTAAGTTTGATATTTGTGACAGTAGTCGGCTAAATCAGATAAATTACAAAAATCCTTTTAAATGTGCAAAATAGTTTGAATAAACTTATGTTGTCAGATATCTCTGTGAAAAATCGAATCAAGCTATGTTATAAGTATCAGATAAGTATATTGTAATTATTTTTTAGCTCAAAAATTAGGGGAGAATCTTAGATTAATAATGTTTGGAGAAAACGCGTAAAAAGTTTGAGAAGCCCTCTTGCCGTCACTTGATGCTAACACAATAAATCGGCTATATCTTGAAAAATTGTTAAGATTTTCACTTGAATTTTTTAGGGACATTCTTGAATTAGAGTAGGTTCGAGTTAAATCAAAATACAAAATTAAAATTGTTGAGACCGAGAATGGCCATCAGCTGAAAATTTGTCATTCTGTTAGACACCTCGAAATATTCATCAGAGATCCCATAAAGTATTCATAATCTTGATCATAAAATGTTATGTCGCTATGTTAGTCATATCCATCTGTCGGACTGTCCGTCTGTTGAAATCACAATAGATCTCCTCCTAATTTCTGTATTTTGGACATGTTTTTGAAACGAAATGGCTTTAATTTAGTATTGTAGATTCTCATCGTTGCACGAAAAATTAAAAATATGTTTTCACTTATTAGGGTAGTCCCCATAAAATTTACCTCCTAATTTTTTATATTTTAAAAATTTTGAGTACCTTTTAGCTTTTATTTAATATTTTGAAGTGTCATTGGGTGGCAGCAAGAATTGTTACTAAAAATTATGAATATGGGTTCACTTTTTAGATTAGCCCCCGTTAATCTCAGTACTTTGGTGAGGTTGGTTTTCAACCAAATTGGCTGTAATTTAGTATTTTTAATGAAGATGATCATTTATACAATATAAAGAAAAAAGTACACTCGTGCCGACTACTGGAATACCTTATCGGATAAATATGTGTTTTATAGTAAAGACGAACAACTAAATATAGTTAGAGTTTCACTCTATTATAGAAACTTGTCCAACTAATTTCATTCGTCTCTAAAAGGTTTATTTTTAGATTTTTCAATTAATTTTTATAGCGCCTCAATATTTGTTTAGTCCTAACTCCATCACTTCATCAAATATGTATTTACAATATTTATTATATTTATTTTTAACTTAACAATTTTCAACTACTTTCTTTAAATTAACACAGACACACATATTAAACTTAAACCAATACCTTATCAATCCTACACATTGTTTTTCCTGTATAAACAAAAATATATTCCTTTGTGTTTTTTTCCTCTACAACCTCTGCCAATAATTTTTATGTTGTATATTTTTTGTTATATGTTATTATTATTATTATTTTCTTGTAAATTATTTCTTTTATTCAAATTTATTTTACTTTTGGATATTTTATAATAATAATAAAGCAATCTTAAATATATTTTCTAAAATAAAAACAACAACAACAAACATTTTTTATTTTTATATTATTTTGCACGCTTTTGTTTTATTTGTTTTGTTTTATAACATGTTTTCTTTATTATTTTCTGTTTGGGCTGCATTTTTCCCTTATTTGGTTTATTATTTTCTAAACCACACATGTTAATGGTTTTTTTTTTCTTCGGGAAGCATTTGTTTTTATTACTTTGAGTCTTCTAATAACCGATTTCTTATGCATGGAAATAAGGCTAATGTAAGTGTTCTTTTCTTTTTATCCCTTATTGTATAAGTTGTATATACATATGTACAAATATATATATATATATATATATTTGAGTTTATGCATAATAGATTTTGAATGGTCGACATTATTTTAAAATAAACCGATGAAACGATAAAAAGACAAACACAGAAAAGTAAGTCACAGCGATATATTCGATGACACAGTAGCGTACATTAAAATTAAAACACCTTACAATTTGGGCACACATTACATATGTTCAATAAAGTTTTTATCGGTTATTAAAAAGCGGAGTTTTAACTACAAATCCGATTTAAATAATACAAGTTTTTTATGTGTGTAAAATAGTAAATATCCACAGCCGTTATTCATAATTTACATAGATATAAGGTTTTCCGGACAAGGATCGAGTAAAAGTGGAAAAGAAAATCTGAAATCTTACGAGCATTATGTCACTCGTATAATGTTTGAATGTCAACAAATGTCGCCCTCTGATATTAAGTTTACGGTCCATGAAAACAAGTTTCATCATTCGATTTGACCTCAAACTTCTCATCTCCAAAACAGCCGAAAATAGCCGCAAACAGAGTTAGAGTTCATTTCGTTTATCCATCAGAAATCAACTTTTATGAATTCTCTTTTTTTTTTGTAGAATGTTTTCCGATCCATTTTAAATAAACATTTTATGATAAAGTGCGCGGATTTGGGGTTTTCATAAATTATTTTAAAACAAAAATATGTTTTTTTCTGAAAAAACAAATAAAAAATCTGACTATTAATGCACTTTTTACACATTTTCTTAATCCATTGCTATTGTTTTGCAAACGAAAATGGGAATGAATGGGACATTTTTCTGATTATTTTCATTCTTTTAATAGGAAAGCCATAAAGGATGTCACAAAATAGTGATTTTAAAAAGTGTAGAAAGGAATCAGTTAGTGTTACTAGTGTTGTTAGTAAGAATTAGTGTTGAAATTCTATTAATTTGCATGCTACTATATATTTTATTTTTTCCTTTTATTCCTCATGAGAGCATAGGTTTTCTTCGTGAAGCATCGCCATCTTACTCGGTTACGGCAACTAACCGTGTTTTTTGCATCATCCCATGTAAGGTTATTTCGGGTTAGTTCATGGGTTCGTCACCAGGTGTTTCTTGCTTGACCCCTATTTCGTGCTTCCGTTCTGGTTATGCTAAAAATGTTTACGTTACAATATAGAAAATGAATCCAGATATACTCAAATTTTATATTTAAAATCTTGTTGGACCATTCAATATCTATATTGCATATATGTAAATACCTTCTTAACGATTTATTTTTTGTTTTGGTTTTACTGTTATTGGGGTTACAACTCAAAGAATGTTTTGAAATACTGTCTACATACATATATATTTCACTTCTAATGATATTATTATACAATAAAATTTTCTACTTCCTTTTTTCTTTCATTTAATCTGCAAAAAAAAAAAACAAAATAAAATTATCTACATATCTAGGACATTTTGCGTGAGAAACAACAACACATTGAGCAATTGATGATCGAGCGTGATCTGGATCGTGAGGATTCACAGAATCAAGCCTTGCAGTACCAGAAGAATATCAATGAGGTAAATATATTCAGTGATATAACATATCCACCACCAACAGCATCGACTCTGATGGCAATACGGCGTCCGTTCGGTGTGCTCTCATCGAAACAACCGCTGGCACCGATTTCAAAGCGGACAACGTTGGTCGAACGTTCGCCGTCACGTTCCCTGACCTCATCGCCGGTGGCAACGAAAAAGAAAGTTTGGTTTTGCGACAAAGAGAGACTCTATTTTCCACGTGGCTTCTCAACGAAAACTTTAATTTAATTTAAGTTTTGCCATTGTTTTTAATATTTGTTTTTTTCTCCTGTTTGTTATTTTCTTTCGTTTTAATACGTTCTAATTTTTAAATGTGCGATTGCAATCTTCTGTTGAGTGACACAAATGTGACAGCAGACCGACCACAAAAGTCATTCGATTGAGATTGATCTTTCGCGAAAACAAACACCACACCCATGTTATTTTACCTATTTAGGTTTTCTCTATCACATATACACACTGATCAATTTGAGTAAATTTCATCATACATACATACACATTTTATGCAGAATACAATTTTAATGTCACAAAGGACAAAATGAGATCATTGTCCTAGTCAGATGGTTCTTAAAAAAATAAACATTTTTTTCAATTTAGTTGGGTTCTGAAGGGTGAGATGAATTAACACACTCTTTCACAACAGATATTTAAAGGATTCATTCGACATGCATACATACATATTTGTATGTCTTCTGTACACAATCAATGTCGACATTTTCCCAATAACTATTAATTTGTGTTGTGTTTAATTTTATTGTTTTCATTTACTAATTCAATTCAATATGATGCTAACAAACACACCACATACACACCCAAACAAAAACACCAAATTAACATAATTGTTAATTGCATGTTATGTTTAAATGATTTTTGTTTGTAATGCCGAACATTGAGTAGGCAAATGAATTCGAATAAAGAGAATTGATTCCATTCGTAATTGTCACAAAAAAAAAAACGATATTGAATTTTATTTGTAGCCAACAATTAAATGGTATGAAGCGTAAAGGATGGTCATTTTCGATTTTAAGAAAAGTAATAAATTGTATACAATGTCGACAAATTTTCATATAAATCGATAATTTATGTCATCTTTATCTTAACTAAGCACGCATTTTGATAAGACGACGATTGGTTAAATTAAGACGATTGTAGGACGAAGATTTGTTCGTCGATATTGTATTTGCTTTTCTTGATATTGAGCTTTTATTTTTCAGAAAGAATTTACTGTATGTCCCGAAGGAAAAAATATAGCGACGTCAAATTTTGTTCACATCCTATTTAGGATAGTATTGCACAGTAAACACAATAAATCTGTGCACGGGAAATAGTTCTATGGTCACGGAAAAAAATCGAGGCCCAAAGGGTTAAAGACCAAACTGAAGATGGTTGACAGTGAAGCAAAACACGAAACGTGTGTTAGCTGCTTAAACCAGGTGCAAAGTACTGACAACAGCATATTTAAGGAAATTGTTCTCGCTTCCTTTGTATTCCTTCCCAAATTTGATTTATTAAAATGTCATCATTTCATAAGGATTATACTTTCATTAAATAATTTTTTTGAGGTATAAGATAGAAAAGCGTCAGTGGGCAAAAATACAAATTAAAAAAACTAATGATAGGTTTTGATGCCGCAACCAATGCAATACTACAAAAAAGGCGTAAAAAAATACTCTCAGCCTGGTCGTTTATAAAATTAATAGAACTGCATATAAGCGGGATGAATATATCCAAATAATGGCAATGGTATTTCGAACCGTAAATAATATACAGGTGCTTAGTTCCCGGTGCATATATTGAAGAAACGTTGTATTTCCATTTCACACATCGATGTGTTAATATTAGATTATGTTGTTTTGTATATTAGTACATCAAACTTGAACTGTAATGAACAGCAGCCAGTACTACTGAATATTCGGCAATAAAAAAGCAGGATATTTACGAAGATTTTAATTATATTAAAATGGTGTAAAATCTCTACCCACCGCATTAAGATTTGATTTTTATAGCCGTAAATTGTAAAAAAAAAGATTTTATATATTATCTAGAGAAGTTGTGGTAACATTAGGATCTTTACAAATAGAATAAACAAAAAGGTAATATAAAATATAACAACAATAACTACTGTTATGTTTTTATTTTGTTAACAAATATATTTATTAGGTAAATTCGATTTGGTCCATTTCGAAAATTAAGCAAAAAATGTGTATGTATATATGTCTGTAATTGATATTGTCCAAACTTTCCTTTTTTTCTTTCTCTAATGACAAAACCAAATTTTCTTCTTTTTCGTTGCCTCGCAACAATTGGTTTCACATAATTTTCTTTGTCACATCTCTTTAGAAATTACTTAGCGATGCCGATCGTTGGGTGAGACTTATTGCACGTCGTAGCTTCCGTTTGGCCGATCTACGTCGAGAATTCCGCGGCTGGACTGGCAACCATGAGAAGCACTGTATCCTTCATAGTGTACTGTCCCCTTTACGTATTAAGTAAAATAGTTCCCCCGCAGAAGACCTATGAAGATATAACTAAGAAAAAGGAAGACAATCAATGCTTGTCCTCTTCCTACTACAATACATGGTGGACACGATTATGTCCGAGAACGGATATCAACGAGAATAGTAATTGTCCTACAAATCACACTCACACATATATCAAATATACAAACAGAGACAAACACACGCACAAACAACTTAGAATGAAATGTGCTGAAGTAGACCAATCTATACCTCTTGATTTTTCCACGCCTAGTGCTCAAACAAGAACGTTGATAACAACAACCACAACAACAATAAAATGATGATCTTCACCTGCAGATATATATTCTTCCAAAACATTATAATAATGAAAGCAGTGAAAATCTAAAGTTTATTGTCACCATGCCAAAAATTCAAAATTCCACGACCAACTCTCAACGAAATGATGGAAAACAGAAACTAGTTTTCTTCACTTCTCTCTCATTCTTTTTTTTAAGAAATTTTAATTTTTTCTTTTTTCAGAAAGAATTTAAATTAAGACCATTTGTTTATTTTTTTCATTACTATATTATTTTTGTTACTATCCGCCCGGCTATGCCAGTATCATCGGGCGGATGGAAACCCATCTCCCTATATCGAAAAAGAGAAAACATTTTTTTTTGCACACCACGATCTAAGCGAATTTTATTGCTTTTGTTATAACTAGTAATTAACTATTTTTTGTATTTGTAAATGTTATTAAATACTATCAACCAACATTGTATGTATGTATTTGTATCTATAATATATATATAAAAAAAAACAACAACAATAATAAATATAATCGATATGAGAAAATATTTAAAACATGCTGTTTTGTTGTAGTTTTATTTATCTGTTATTAATCTCATCTCCTTCGTCTTATTTTTCTTCTTCCGCATGCGCACATTCTTTGGCCACTTGGGGGCTTCAGTTGAAAACGCGAATAGCTCTATTGGAACGTCAGTTAAGCGAAGAACGCAAAAAAGCGGAAGATCTACAGTTCTCGATCGATGAAGCCACGTTCTGTGGCGACGAATTAAATGTAAGGTTATTCATCTATTCTACATATGTTTTCGTTTGGTACACTGATATTTGAAGCATTTCATAATTTTTTTCTTTTCGCTGTTTCACTTGAAATCAATTTTTGTATACGTGTAGATTTGTAATAATATTAAATCGTTAAGTTTGTGGACATTTTAAACGGGTAATGTTTTACTAAAATATGTAGAAAATTCGGTGGGAATAATAAAAGTGTTCCTTATAAAAATATCTTATTGTAAGCTGTGTATGGTTACTTTTCCTGTAACATTTACTCTGTAATTTACATTTACTCTATTTCAGAGAATAAGCCGTTTTATTCTCTTTTGCAAAAATACTGAGAAAATTAAACAGACGCCATCCAGTAAGATTTTTGCAAAATATTCAGTAATTTCACTTTAAATGATTGAAATTATTTTTTTAAAATTGTTAAAGAATAAAAGTCTTAAAATATAAAAATGAAAAATCTTTTTTGACTTTGTCAATGTTAAAACTTGATTGAAATACGTCGAATTGTGCTGGATAAATCTTATTGGAAGAAATTTACACAGTAACATTTAGTAAGTTCTCAGCGTAGAACTGTCAAAGAAGTTCTCTCTTTTCGCTCTCTTATGTGCTTTTCAATATGTAGTTGAGTGCAAAAGTGTGTACAGTACCAACTTGTGTATACAGCCCAAATTATTTAAATAGCTTCATATCGAAATGTACGAGTTGTACCCTCCAAATTATGTTTAATTCTTGTAAAAAAGAACCTAATGTGTAATTAAAAGAATTTTTTCGTCGACTTTTATTTTACGGAAATAATGCACGGTATCTCCCGGACATAGTGACGTCAAATATTGTTCATTAGGATAGCTACATTAAACCCACAGAAAATAGTTCTATAGCCGCGGAAAAAAATTCGGGCCATAAAGAGTTAATGTATATGTTGTACATATATACCAGTAGATAAAACGGTTTGAGCATTTGATCACATAAATATACAAAATTTTATAATATTTATATAATATTTTTTATATTAGAATATGTAGACCACTGTAAATATTTTAGTACCTCTCACAAATCCGAGTACTATGATTGGTTTGTTGATTTCCAAACGGTCTAGGTTCTTTTGGTGTAAATATTGTGGTCTCTAGAGCAACCTGGAAAACAGCCAAGAAAGTTGTTCGTTGATATGATCCCCTAAATATTAACCGACCATTGCCAAAATACATTTTTTAAAAATTAGAATATGTCGACAGACATGTCCGATTCAGTCGACTTATGACATTCGAGGCTTTACAAACTCTTGGGCCCACACATAATACCTTTACTTGTACCCTTAAAACATCATAAAATAATGCAAGTAGGTAGGGTATATTTCTATGTAGCGATGATTTTTTTCGGCTATACCAAAACGTGGTATGTATATGCAAAATGTGAAAGTTCTCCCTTGAATGCATTCTTCTTCACTTATTTTTATGGTTAAGTTTTGATATTAGTTTTTGTCTTAACCCACTCACTTTGTAAGCATTTTAAGATTATTTGTATTTTATTTACTGAAGGTAAGTTTAAATATGCCGAAATTGGTTCAGCTTTTACAAGGTATTTTATTCCGATAAATCTAAAATGACCGTTAATATTATTTATATAACCTTGAGAGCACCTTCGCCTGGAAGTAGCTTTCAGCAATGTCAGCATAGAAAAAAAACATA